ATGGAATGACTATGTCTTCAAGGCCGACTTAAGCTTACTGAAGCTGTCTTTGGTAAACTCCTTAGTTTAGCTCTCTTCCTGTTTCCAAGCTTACCAATATCCCTCATCTTTACTGCACCTATACCAACCTTTCTGAATATCATCAAGGTAAGAAAAGCCTTGAGAGACAGCATCCCAATCCAGAGACTTAATAAGAAAGGGTCATTAGTGTGACAATGTACAGCCTACACTGGTGAACTGGAGAAGAGGCACAGATAGGCAGTTTAAGGGGAGAAATTCTCACATAAACCTGTTAACCTAGGCCAACGTATTAAATGAATTTTTTTCTTGACAAATGTTGTGAAACCCAGGCTGTACTTAGATGCCACACAAATATTAGTTTTACTTCAGACCCTGGACATGATGTCATCCACCTAGCACCCAGAGTTAAGACCGTAGAGAGTCTTAACTCTGTCCTCAGACTTTTTTCTGTACAAATAATCCAATACAGTCTTCGTCAACACGCAAATATTCATGAGGAATGTAACTGGAATTGGGTTTGTAAAGTCCAATTGGTTATAAATTAGAATGTACATAGAATCCAGTGATCTAATGATTTGGTGAGTATGTTTGGGTGGTCAAATATGTGAACTGAAGTTCATGTGGAAGGCGATATTACATAGCAATTTTCATGATTTTTAGTGACTTTCAAAATATTTTAAAACTATAGGAAATAAAATGCACTTTATCCACATTTGCTCAGTTTCTTGAGCAAATCCACAAAGGTAAATGTCCTAATTTTTTTTTTAAGGGTTAACTTTTGTCCTTGGGCCTTTTCTTGTTTTAAAGGTATAAGATCATACTGTGACATCTAAAAGTAATTTTATTGTGTGATACCATCTTATTGTTTTCTGTCGTTTCATTTAGACTTCCTCAAAAATGTAGCCAGCTTGCTGTGGGACATAATGGCTGTCCTAATTTCAACAGCATAATGTTATGCTCAGTAAATTTGGGAAATAATTCCTTATCCAATTAAAGGGAATTTGGGAAATTTCATTAGATAGCATATAATTTTTCCATGTCTACACTACAGGAGAAGATAAAAAGCCATAGGGTCCTTGCCAGTCTGACCTGGGGAAAAAATGCATTCTTGATCAATTTTACTCTGAGGTGCCAGGCATCTGATAGACTTTTAAGAACCAGAAGCAGCACCTCTTTTCAGGAAAAAAAAATTTCAGAACTGCCCCTTTAATCATGGTTAATGTGTGATGCTTTGGGAGATGGATGAAGCCAGTGAAACAAACATTACAAAGAAAAAAGCCAAAATATATTAATGAGGAGAAACAATCTCCTAGCTACAACTCTGCCTAGCAGCTATATGTCATTTGGAAAATGTTTGCATTGACCCTACGCTGTGTATGACTGATTATGTAAATCACATGCTGTATGAGCACCCCATGAGGAGAACTAAAAATGGCAAACAACAAATAGTAAATAACTTGTGCTTAAGTTTCTATATGAATTGTCCAACTCATATTCTAGCAAAATTTGTGGTGTTGTTCCTGAATGTTTTCACCATCACCCACGACTGACTGCTTGAATAATGTCAATCAATTACAACTTCATAAGGAAAGCCAATTATACTTGTTCTTATTCATGAATCATATTTTATTTTCAATTAGTTTTACGCTACAGGATGCTGAGATGTTTGATCAATTTTTCCTCCAAAGGAAAAGTGCCATAGAGTGAGTCACCAGAATTCTTGCAGCATCTTGAGTTTTTTTCCTCAGATGTGTCCTATCCAATTACTGATCAGACCCAACCAGGTCTAACTTGTGAGCTTTAATAGATCACAGCTGGCTGTGGCATGGCTGAGTGCCACATGCCTTCACTAACCATTCATTTAATTGGTGTTTTATTTGGGTTTTTTTCAGTATGAAGCAAGGACAAAACTCTGTGAGCTAAGTTTTACGTGGGAAATTAAAGTTAAGGAAAATCTTGCTAGAGGGAAAAAAAACCCCAACATATGCTTCTTAGGAAACCTGTGAATGAGTCAGTTAGCACAAATCCCTGTATGTGGGGGTTGTAGTAGAGCTGCCTAGGCCTTTAGAGTACACAAGTAGAGACAGTGCTGTCTATGGACCACCAACTGTGATCCATGTGCCAGAGCAGCAAGAAAAGGCCAGGACCCTGTCTATTTCCACCTTCTCCCAGATGGCAGGGACTGCTATTGTAATTGACCTTTGTATGGGCCTCATAAGGAGATGGAGTTTTTTGGAGGCTTCTTCTGTGTCCTGTAATCTAATTCACCCTCTCAAGGCCCTATGACAATCTGGCTGTCAGTACGTTTGTTAAATCACTAGGGTTAAAAGGTAACAAAGCAAAGAAAAATAAGAAATGAACTTTCTTCTCAGAAGCTGGTGGATGAATATGATTTATAGGTAATAAAATGGAGTACTAGTAGAAAGAGATCTCACAGAAGTAATAGAAAAACCTGAGAAATAAGCTGCAATAAATCTCTTAGACCAAATGACATTCATCTGAGAGTTTAGAAGGAATTATAATGTAGCCACTACATAAATGTGCAATTTATTAAACCAAAAAACCCAAAAAAAACCAACCCACAAAACAAAACAAAGCAAAAAACCCCCATCAAACCAAAGAAAAACAAAAACAGTGTCACGTATAATTGAGATAAGGACTAACAATATATGCATTTTTCTGAAAAGATTCTAAGACTGGTTTATTGAGTTACATAGCACTGAACTTTAACCATCTAACCAGAAAAATAGATGATAAATTGTTGTAGGTAAAGAATAAACACATGATTACAATAAAATTAGGACAAACCACCCGTGTCTCAGTGAGGTTTAATGGTGTGTTTCTAATTTAAAATTATTTGAAAGAGTTAATAAGTAGTGAAGAAAAAGATAGAAGTAGATGATATAGTTTCCATTTTCAAAGATATTTAGGCAAAGTGTCTGATACAGAGCTTTGTAACAATGATGTTAAAGGTAAAATGTTGTCGTGGCTCAAAACTGGTTTAAAGAGGCAAAGCAGAAAGAAATTTTTACCACTTGGGACAGAAATGTTTAATGCCAAGATGTCCCATAGGGATCAATATGACTTAACATGTATATAATTAAGAAGGAATTAGGTGAAAATGAATTGCAAATTATATAATGAATTAGGTTAACCAAAACTGGGACGAGTTATAAGGAACTCTGGACTAAAGAGCTAGAGTTGTCATTTTGATCATCTCCAGCTGCATTCAGGAGGGAACTTACTTTAAACCTACTGTGTAATAACACAGTAACTTACAATTAGTTGAAAGAAAGTTTATGCCTTCCCTGAAATGTAGTTTTAGTCATTATCAGAAAGAATCTGTCAGCAAAAATCCAACTGATCTGTCCCTAGCTGTAAACTTGTTTGTAACTACAGAGACATTTTATGGTAATTATAAGCTGGATACACACTAGTTTCTGCATGAATAGCTTGATTAATGGCTTTTGATGAATTGTGCCTCTCCTCTGTTCGTGGCAAGTATACACATAGAAAGATACTCAAATGTATCTTTCAAATTAATTATTTGAAACTATTCAGCAGCTTGTGGGTTTGTTCTTTCCAAACCCCCATCAATTTGCTGATTTGAAATTCAAACTGTTGCCAAAGGGTACCAAATCATACCAAGTCATATGATATTGTTTCTCTTTCCATATTGGATAAGCAATAACAACAACAGTAATAATAATAATTGGTGCTATTATTATTGTAAATGGTATTAACAACAATAGCTATGATAATAGCACCAATTATTATTATTACTGCTATTAGCATTATCATCATCATTGGTTTTCCAATTCCCTCTCTGAACATCTGAGTGGGTTAACTGAAAACTATTTCACTCGGATGCTGAGTGGGTTAGCTGAAACTATTATTTGCCTAAAGGCTTTAAGAAAAGTTAATGGAAAGGGTGTGAAGGGAGCCCTAGTGAAATTCAAAAGCTCCAGTGAATGTCTTTGAAAAATACTTTTCTCAGTATTCAGGGGTGTAGGGGTGCCTCTAAGGACACAGGCAGACAAGGTTCTTTGGGTTAATCTGATATCTTTTATTAGACCAACTCAGATTTTCTCTAAAGTCTTTTCTCAGTATTCAGGGGTGTAGGGGTGCCTCTAAGGACACAGGCAGACAAGGTTCTTTGGGTTAATCTGATATCTTTTATTAGACCAACTCAGATTTTCTCTAAAGTCTTTTCTCAGTATTGGCAGATAAACTATGAGACCCTTTGAGCCAAGTCCTCCAAGGGGAGTTTTACCTGAAGGAGGACACCAAGTTTTGGCAGACTGAGTTTGCCTTTCACTCTGGAAAGGCTTTCCTTTTCAGAAAGAAGCTAGGCTTTCAGCCTGGCTCTATTCACTGGTCTAGTCCCAAACGCACTTTACAGCATGAAACTGTTCATCACTAACTTGTCAACATCAGGTGAGATTTTAAATGCACTGCAGCCGCTCAGCTCTTTCCCCTCACTCAGTGAAAACGTCTATACCTGCCAAAAGAGATCCCCCAGGAACAGAGGCAGTCAAGGTTCTTTGGGTAGCTAGGATATCTTTTACTAGACCAACAAACTAGTTAGAAAAAAGTTCTTTGCAGGCTTTGGGGCACAAACACCCTGGGAGACACAGGTCCAGGAACAGCAGCATTCAAGATTTCAAAGCCAGTGACAAAGCCCCCGGGGGATCCTGCGAGCAGGGCTGGGCTCTCTGGCCTCTCCTGGTTGTTCTGAGCTGGAAATGCCCGATGCGAGTCCCCAGCCTGGGCCACGCTGTCTTTTTCTTGCAGTGAGTTGAAAAGCCACTAGAGGTGAGCGGGATCTGACAATCTCTTCCCCTTCCAGCCCCCGCAACCTCAGTGCTGAAGCAAGCCAGGAGACAGCCCTGTGCGGGAGCGAGCCTGCCTGTTTCTCGGAAGTAACCAAAGGGGCTCCAGGCGGCGTCGCGAGGAAGGAGAAGGTGGCTCGAGCCTCACCTGCTCCGCAGCCCCGGGGCCCGGGGGCACGTCCACGTCCCCTTGGGGGAAGGGAGGGGACTCGGACCCGGAGTGGGAGCGCGGCGGCATCATGTCATCCGAACATAGGACATAAGATGATGCTCCCCGGCCCCCAGATCTGTACGGGTCCCCAAACTGGGAGAAAGGCCCAGGGTGGGCGGAAGCAGCTGGGACTCGGTCTTGGACCGAAACACATCGTCCTGGACCAGCAGGAAGCAAAAATAAATAAAAATCCCCAAACCCTCCCGGGAGCTCTGCCAGGGACTGCCCCGAGGGTGCTCCTCCCTCCGCTTTCACAGGTCCCCCTGTGGTGCCCTCTGCCCCTGGCACCAGTGTGTTGGGGGGGTACGTCTCCTGTGTGGGGAGGCTCCCCGTCGTGTGTGTGGGGGGTTCCCTTCGTGTGTGTGTGCGTGTGGGAGGGGCTCCCCATCTCATGTGGGGGGTCCCCATTTTGTCGCAGAGCCGCAAGCAGCCCCCACGTGAGCTCCCGCCAGCAGGAGGCGGCGGCTGGTCCTCGCCTCAGCCGGGGCCGGGCGGGCGGGAGGAGTTGCCAGCCCCTTGCCCTCCTCTGCCAGCACATCCCCCCCGCCTCCCCCCGCTCACAAGGCACCCCCGGGGGCGGGCCGTGCAGGACGGCTCCCCGCGGCGGCGCTGGAAAAGATGAGAAAGTTTGGGGTGGGGGGGTGAAGCAATCCCCCCGGTGCCCCGCGCTAGGAGCCGGCGGGTCCAGCGGGGCGCAGCGGGTTGGAGGCAGGGGCTGCCCGCTTGCTTGCGGCCGGGGAGGGAGGCGCAGGCGCGGCGCTCGCCCGGCT